GCCACGCCCACTTCAATATTGTTATGTGGATGTGTTCAAGAGATGACGTTTATCAACCATGTGAAGTTTCAGGCAGATCGGACATTGTGTGGCTGAGTTATAAGGACTTCCTGTTCCATGGCGAAGTGTTGAGGTTTGTCATACCGCCACGGACACGCCCCTCTGCCAAAACTCTAGATCTTTACAATATATCATCACTAGAGCTTTCAGATAACACCACTCAATTTTGGTGCTGATACGATAAAATTTGTGGGAGGAGTTTATAACTCCGTAAATCATGTCATTTCCTGTGGCCAGCAGGTGGCGCTGTAACTGTATCTGGATATTGGCAAGTAAACGTGTTCAGGTCAGGACGCTTATCAAGCGTGTGAATTTTGAGGCAGATCAGATAATGAATGCCTGAGTTATAACGACTTCCTCTTTTGTGGCGAATCGTCAAAGTTTGCGAGGCCGCCACGGACACGCCCATCGATGAAAACTCTAAAGCTTCGCAATTTAACATCGCCAAGGTCTTTAGATGACAAAACCCAATTTTGGTGTCGATCCGATAAAATCCCTAGGAGGAGTTCGTTAAAATACAACGCTTGGAAATGGCAAAAACGCCACTTTTTCGCCGCAGGAAGTTAAAAATATCCGACTTCCTGTTGGGTTTGAGATATGGCTCCAAGAGACTTTTTCGTATGTTTTGGCATGTTTGAGGTGTGTGCCAATTTTCACGCATGTGCGTGATTCGTGGATCGGGGGCTCGTCCGTTTAATTTTTCTAGGTGGCGCTGTCGAGTCATTTTGCCACGCCCACTTCCGAAGCCCATAACAAACGTAAATTTTCGCCACTTCTGAGGCGTGTGCAAAGTTGCGTGAGTTTTCGGGCATGTTTAGCCCCTCAAAACCGCGATTCATTCCGCGGAAGAAGAAGAAGAAGAAGAAGAAGAAGAATAATAATAAACAGAGCAATTCCAATAGGGCCTACGCACCGTTTCGGTGCTCGGTCCCTAATAATAATAAAAAACGGAGCAATTCCAATAGGGCCTACGCACCGTTTCGGTGCTCGGTCCCTAATAAACGGAGCAATTCCAATAGGGCCTACGCACCGTTTCGGTGCTCGGTCCCTAAATATGATCACACACACATAGCGCAGACACACACACACACACACACATAGCGCAGACATACACACAGAGAGTGACAGCACGCGTTTAGCTTTGCAGTCGTTTTGCATGCATATGTGACATGATACAGGTTAATATACACTGCTGTTTGGATATCTGTTATGTTAATGTACAAAATAAACCTGATCTAACATCCACAAACCGAAATATAATATTTAAAAATTGTTCTGACATCCGGCTGTGCTGATGAAGTGAATCTAAAGTGAATCCCTGTTATTCATTACACACTTGCTCTGTTTTAAAACATTTTAAACTTGTAAAACTCACTCTTGATCACATTTGATGATGATTGATGATCCAAGCAAACTGAACAGACCTTTTATTTCCGGTTGCTTTGCGCTCTTTCTGTCTTGTTGATATAATTATATGCGTTATGTAAGAATCAGCTCTTTGGTTTAAATCATGTTTAAACTTTGGGGATTCGAATCAAAGATTCGAACATGATTCACATAGAATTATTTAAAGCTTACACTTAACTTTAGTATTTGTCCAGCAAATAGAACGTTTAGTGTAAAGCAATTCTGTATTATATTATTACGTGGCCAACAATAACAATATAAAAACAGTATCTAATTATTTAATGAGCAAGGTAGCAGTATCTGAAGCTGAGGCATTAACTTATAAAGCACACAACACACCAACACGGATCTTAAAACGAAACAAAAGTTTGTTGCTACTCTATAACACAAAGTACTAGTCTACGTAAAACAAACAAATGCACATACATACACACACGCACAAGCAGTTTGAGGAGAGTTTTGGCTGAGTGGATTTAACTTCTAGCCTTTGCTAAGTTCTTAGCATTGCAACCTGAGAGAAAGCATAAAAGCAGAGAATTTTGCTATTCTTTACTACTTAAACATAATTCACACCAGATTCAGTAATGGGTAGAAACCTTGTTTGTGCTACTTGCGTTCTGATGTAATTTTGGTTTCCTCGACTGGTCCAAAGGGAAATCCCGGCGAAGCTGATTGGTCAGCGTAGCAACTTCAGTGACGTGATGGAATTCCCTTGTCGGTGAAGAGGGGTTTCCTTAGTTGGTTGCTAGGGATACAGATGTTGGACGAGGCGGCGTTCGAAGTCCTTCCTGGGTTCCTGTAGTTATGATGAGTTTCAGAGTTTGGATGTGTTGACCCGATGACTCGTTGTTGCACAAGCAGATCGGGGGTCGAGCCGGTAGCAAGTGAAGGTCGCGGTATGCTCCGTGATGTAACGAGGCTTCCGGCGAGGCGATGTAACGGCCACAGCACGAGAAGAGCGACGTCCGGGCAGCGACGGCGGTGACGACTGGCAAAGATGACCGGCAAAAGACGACGATGAAATTCCTTTGTTCAAAGTTTATAGGCTTTGGTAGAGGCTGGGTCTACACAATACTTGTCCAATCAGATAAGGTGCGGGGTGGAGACACACCCCAATTCCGCCCTCTAGGAGGCCGGGTTGACACCTGGTGTGGGTGCTGCTTTGATAGCATAGTGGTTAAAATAAAGTCTCATAACATGGACACTTTTCATAGTATGGTTTCTTCATATAAACCAATGCATTTGAAACTTTCCTAGCTTTCAATCAATACCAAAGATGAAGTATTTCATAAACATTCTGTAGATTTCATTTGTCACTGAGGTCTATTACTCAAGAACTATCTATAACAGTTTTGTTAAACACATAGAACATGTACACACAAAAACCTACAGAAACATAAAGCAAACATACATTACTCAAATAAACACAGTTTTACTGTATGTCCATTAAACTTTGGAAGCGTTTCTGATCGCTTCTGTGTCTGCCTGAGAATGTGTATTCCTTGCAGACGCCAAAGGGCACGCGAACCAAAAGGTACTTCTCAAAAACCGGTTTGGTGGGTTTTTGATTGTAGAGCCTCTTATTGTTTTAAGGTGTAAAGTTAATTAACACGCAACTGTGATGTTGACTGGCTAGTCATCCTGTGGATTGCCTTTTGCTGGGTGCCTGTGGGTTGCTTTGAAAATGAAATCAAAGCTCAGACATGTAGGCACCAACCAATCTTTTAAGGATAACATGGTCTGTGGCTTGTTCGGTTCTGGAACGATCCGTTGACTCACTACATCTCCCCCATTTGGATGGTGATGTTCCTGGCATGAACATCGGCAGACACTGGAACAAGAGGCATAGGCAGAGAGAGAACAGACACACAAGACAAAACCACATTTCTATTCCATAGACTGAGTTCTGGTGCAGGCTTTAGCTTAAATTGTTCGGGTTAAGAACACAAGGTGTAGTGTAACATTGCCTGAAATAATTCAAATTTAGTTATTTAGGTAGTTTACTTCATTGCAAGTATGGAGTGGCGCTAGCTTCAACTTAAATAAGCAATAATTCTGCAGCAATTGACACTAATTTGGGAGGAGTCAATCCTACTTTTAGGCCCTATGCATGAATTTGCAGGAGTTCCCTGTAGAGGGGACTGGAACTGCAAATCAGTTAGGGAGAGAGAGAGAAAGAAGGAAATCAAGAGGCATAGGGATGCAACAAAACAAGGTAGGAAATGTGGAGTGGATCCTCTCTACTAGAGGTTGTTCTAGCAGTGCTGTAGAGGAGAAAGTATTAGTGTTATGTTTAACTAGGTGTTTCCCTAGAATGTCAAAGGTTATGTTAGTGTGTAGAGGGTAGAACAGTTGATCTGTGTCAAGTTGTGGTCCTCCCCCATTTGTTGTTCAATGATGATGGAGCAGTCAAATGTTCATCCAGTAATGGAGGTACCGGAGTTTGGCATGGGTCAGGAAGGGTTTCAGGACTGAACTGAGGTTTGTCGGAGGAGTGGCAGACGACCAGAACGGCACTTTTAGAAACCTGAGGGTTTTCACCTGCAAGTGTTTGTTGGTTCAGGTGGTTGTTGCTTCTCCGCTCGGCAACTAGTCAGGCTGAATCTGCTTTTTCCTTTTCCCATTTCCTGTCCTCCTCTATGCATTTGAGAAACTCTTTCATCATCAATTTCACCAGTTCTTGAGGGTCAAATCCCGGTGGGGGATTTTCCTCTTGCTGGGATTGAGTCTGAGCGTTGTCAGGGTGGAAATTTTTGGAGTACCTTCGTTGACTCCTTGGACTTGATGATCTAGAGTTTTGATGTCTTCCCTTGGAGGGACTACTGGATGGTGACCAGCTTTTGTTTGACCCCCATTGGTTTCTTCCCTGGTGGTGTTCAGGTGAGCGTCGTTGTCCACGCGGTCCATCCCAGTGACTGTTCCGCTGTTTGAATCTCGTGTCAGCGTAGGAGTTCTGTTGTCTATTAGACGAAGACGCATTCCATGCTGGGGATAGTGGTCTCACACTGTTTGGGCGTTGGGCACCCTCTAGTGCCAGTTCTGGATTCTGGGTGTTAAAGTCAAGAACTGTTGCAGTTTTAGTGTTTTTCTCTAACACCATCTTTTGTTTGTTATGGGCTTTCTGTGTCAAATCTCGCAATTGTTGGATGCTCATTGTTCGTGGGCATGCGAGTACTCCGAGATGTTGGCTTACTGCGGGATGGAGATTTCTCAGAAAGAGAATCTTAAAGTTCAGGTCTTCTTTCATATTCGGTTCGTTGCGAGTTCCGAAAAAGGCTTGCCTGAGTCGGTTGTAGTAAGCATGTGGGGACTTGTTGCGAGCTTGTTTTGTCTCCAGAGCACCTAACAGTCCTTGATCTGATTCAGGGTTTGCAAACTCTCTGATGAGGGCTTCTTGGAGCAAGCGGTAATCGTTCTTTACCCGAGCCGGTTGTCGGTCCAGGAAGCTGCGCACCTCAGTGCTGGATGTGGCTCGAAGCAAATACAGTCTTTCTTTATCAGAGACATTGGGTCTCATTTCCAGATGGAAATCAATGTCTTGCTAATAAGCGTGGACCTCCAACCCACCTGACACACTTGGAGTAAACTTGCCAATGTTTCTGGCCAGCTTGTCAAGGTCTTTAAGGTCCAGACTGTATGACGATCTGTGACTGGAAATCACAGGCTCTCGTCGTTGTGGGATATGGTAAGACTCTTCAGAAGGTGTTGGTGAAGGTCTTCGACGTGGTTTTTCACCTCTTTCAATAGGTGAAAGCTCAGGGACAGGGGATCCTGTTCTGCTTGGCCGGGGTGAGGCTGGTGCACATCTTGTCTTTGGAGGTTCATAGCGCAGTGCATAGGCATGCTTGAGTTCACTGGCGGATTCCTCTTCGATGTCATCCACTTCCTGCATTAGTCTGTCGATCTCATGTCTTGCTTCGCTCAGGTGAGTTTCAAGGGCTTTGATTCTGGCCTTCTTGTCTCTTAAGTCCACCTTCGCTTCCTTCAGTAGTTGTTCAGCGTAATCTAGCTTGTTAGCAACGTCAGCGTGGTCTGCTCTGGCTTGTTCTCTTTCTTCTGTGATGGCTGTTAAAGCTTCTTGTAGTTTGTCAATCTCCTCTGTGGTACCTTCATCTACCTCATTTGGTTGTTCCAGACGTTCCTGAGCCTCTAGCTCTAGCTTCTCGATGCGGGCTTGCAGGCATGTCAGCTTGTGTTGGAGTTGGGAGGCGTGTCTGTCACTCAATTTGAGGGTGGCTATGAGTGTGTGACTCAAAGTACCAGTGATTTTGGCCAGCTCCTTGTGGTTGAAGCTTTGACTTGGGTCTTGCTTCATGATGCTGTCTATGTTCTCATCCAATTGGTTTTGCGTCAGGGGCTGCAGTGTTTCGGCTGCTTTAGGGAGGAGACTGCCTGTTACAACGCTCAGCCAGCATTCCAGATCCTTCCAGTGGCCAACTGGATCTTTGGAGTGAGCCATCTTTTGCGGCAGGGGAGGACTTAGGATTTAACTGACACAGACCTTGAAGAGAGATAGAGAGGAGACAGAAAAAACAAGGTAGAACAAAGCAAACAGACAAGGAGAAATGTTAATGTGCAATGTTAAGTGTGTTCTAATGTTGAGTTAAGTGTGGTTCTCTGGAACTGTGGCCCTCTGGTGGGTACGCGTGTCTAACTGGTAGTCTCTGTGGAAAGAGTCAGTAGCACAGACACAGTGAGAGAACAAAGAAAAACAAAAGTGATAAGGAGACCAAGGAGTAGGGTGAAAATCTGTAGTTTCCACTTTCCTAGAGAGAGGGTTCCTTTAGCTTTTGTTAAATATAAAAATAAGATTTCTAAATACTAGGACTGAAGTTGCTATTAACTTTCTTCTGAAGTGACAGAAAGTAGGACAACAATAACAGTATTGGCTTCTGAATAGGATTGACTCTGTACACCAAATAAATTGTTTCTGGATGCGTGTTTAGAATTGGATCTAACGACGCCTATCTTCTTGGTGACCTGATGAGTGAGAAAGGAGGGGTGAGATCAGCCAATTTTAACAATTAAAAGTGTTCAATTGTCCCAAACATCTATTAAATGTTTCTAAAATTCTCTGCTTTTTGACTCTCACAAGCACAATCCTTAAACCAGCATCAATAGTCCAGTAAAAGAAGATAGTTGAAAGAGATAACAAAGGAGTTATTTTCTCTTAGCATTAGGTGTAATTAAGGATGTCAAAACAATGGCACTGTTGAGTTGATACTTCAAGAAGTGTTGGTTTTATAGTGTTATATAGTAACCGCTTAGCCTACGTAGTAGAAAAATTTAATTTTCCTTTTGAATTTTGGCTAATTGGAGGGCTACTGCTCTAAGACTAGGCTCAATGATGACTTAGGTTGGTACCGTTACAGCTCACTGGGCTGGACTGTCCAATTGCATTAATAAAGCAGCAGGGGGAGCACTGTCTGTTAGCAGGCTTAAAATAACTAAATTTAATAGACTAAATTCAATTTTGAATTGAACTTAACTTTAAATCTGAAACGTGGTAATAACTTTTATAAGTTATCTTTAAAATTGATAAGAACACTTATGACTAAATTTTATTAATAATTGTTTTTAAAATGATAGAGCCATGCATAAATGAACGATTAATGAAATTAAAATTTCAAAACAATGAAGTTGGTTAGAGTAACATTTGATGCAGTTTATCATTAAATTAAACAATTATAATTTATTTAATCAGTGAGTCTTATCCGTATAAATCAACAGTTATAGGAAATGGGTGTTCCTAGATGTTGATGAATGGAAAGTATTTATACTTGAATAAGTCAGAGAGCATTAATTTATAGTAATGAAAACAAAACTATAATTCATCACTTATAAAACCAACAGCTTATGTGAGTTCAAACTGATCAAATTCAACAGGCCAAGTACAGCAGGAAAAACAAAAATTAAATAAAAAAATAGTGATTAAACTCAGCAGTTAGATCGTGCACACTTTTATTAACTTTGCATTTGTCAACTTTTCCAAGGTGAGTAAAGAGAAACAATTGAGATTCAAGAGTTATTTCAAACATCAGCCATACGCATTTAGGACCACTAAATGCTACGTGCTATCTATTAGCCTTCGCTGCTACTGAAAATGTATAGACTTTAATGCAAACGCGTTAGCGTTAGTTTAGCTTAGCTTCCCGCTATGCTCTTTGTTTACAATTCAAGCTGGCGCTGGCGTACTGCACATGCGCACTTGAATGTAATTCCGGCAAGTCTCTCTGTACTTCCGGACCAAGGTTGCTGCTATGGCAACGACCACAAAGTGGAATAATAGCAAATTTCACAGTATCACTTGAGATGACGGCGCATCTCACACTGTTCAAGCAAAAAGCACAAGTTAGATTTTAAATCTTATCAGTACTGAACCATCTCAACTCATGAAAGTGAGATAAATTAATCAACAGGATTTCTGAGATTAATACAAATCGTGACAGAGATATGGGGGATCTCAGCACTCTGTGTCTGTGTAGACTGCAAACACATCCGTGGATTCAAACCACAATTTCAATTGATCAATTTCAAAACTTCTCCTATAAACTACGCTAGGCAGCTCTCTCTGAGCACCGCGTTTTAAATAATTTACTAAGTCTTAGCAAATTACAGGGCAACAAGAATTTAGTTAGCTATGCTAAATCAGTTACCAGGAGAAAACACAGCTGAGTTTCCATCCGGGAATCGCGGCGTACGAAATCATACTGTGAAGGCCTTATATATGAGATAAGCACAAAGGAATACGCTTGGTCTTTCTCTACATGCGCTTTAGAGCGGCTTACAGTGTGTCTCGGCGGACAACTTAAATGAAGTTTTACTTTCTTAACAACACTAAATGCAGTCAAGCAATAAAACAAATGGTACCACAATGAAATTGTGCAGTAGCAAAACTTTTGTTCCCTCTAATCTATTCTTTCCGGACAAAAATAGAAAAGATTAACAACGTGATTTCTGGGTTTTGTGCTTTAAAAGTTAGATCTGCTTGCCCGAATTATTCTCCACCACTATGTAAGAATCAGCTCTTTGGTTTAAATCATGTTTAAACTTTGGGGATTCGAATCAAAGATTCGAACATGATTCACATAGAATTATTTAAAGCTTACACTTAACTTTAGTATTTGTCCAGCAAATAGAACGTTTAGTGTAAAGCAATTCTGTATTATATTATTACGTGGCCAACAATAACAATATAAAAACAGTATCTAATTATTTAATGAGCAAGGTAGCAGTATCTGAAGCTGAGGCATTAACTTATAAAGCACACAACACACCAACACGGATCTTAAAACGAAACAAAAGTTTGTTGCTACTCTATAACACAAAGTACTAATCTACGTAAAACAAACAAATGCACATACATACACACACGCACAAGCAGTTTGAGGAGAGTTTTGGCTGAGTGGATTTAACTTCTAGCCTTTGCTAAGTTCTTAGCATTGCAACCTGAGAGAAAGCATAAAAGCAGAGAATTTTGCTATTCTTTACTACTTAAACATAATTCACACCAGATTCAGTAATGGGTAGAAACCTTGTTTGTGCTACTTGCGTTCTGATGTAATTTTGGTTTCCTCGACTGGTCCAAAGGGAAATCCCGACGAAGCTGATTGGTCAGCGTAGCAACTTCAGTGACGTGATGGAATTCCCTTGTCGGTGAAGAGGGGTTTCCTTAGTTGGTTGCTAGGGATACAGATGTTGGACGAGGCGGCGTTCGAAGTCCTTCCTGGGTTCCAGTAGTTATGATGAGTTTCAGAGTTTGGATGTGTTGACCCGATGACTCGTTGTTGCACAAGCAGATCGGGGGTCGAGCCGGTAGCAAGTGAAGGTCGCGGTATGCTCCGTGATGTAACGAGGCTTCCGGCGAGGCAATGTAACGGCCACAGCACGAGAAGAGCGACGTCCGGGCAGCGACGGCGGTGACGACTGGCAAAGATGACCGGCAAAAGACGACGATGAAATTCCTTTGTTCAAAGTTTATAGGCTTTGGTAGAGGCTGGGTCTACACAATACTTGTCCAATCAGATAAGGTAGACACACCCCAATTCCGGAGACACACCCCAATTCCGCCCTCTAGGAGGCCGGGTTGACACCTGGTGTGGGTGCTGCTTTAATAGCATAGTGGTTAAAATAAAGTCTCATAACATGGACACTTTTCATAGTATGGTTTTTTCATATAAACCAATGCATTTGAAACTTTCCTAGCTTTCAATCAATACCAAACATGAAGTATTTCATAAACATTCTGTAGATTTCATTTGTCACTGAGGTCTATTACTCAAGAACTATCTATAACAGTTTTGTTAAACACATGGAACATGTACACACAAAAACCTACAGAAACATAAAGCAAACATACATTACTCAAATAAACACAGTTTTTCTGTATGTCCATTAAACTTTGGAAGCGTTTCTGATCGCTTCTGTGTCTGCCTGAGAATGTGTATTCCTTGCAGACGCCAAAGGGCACGCGAACCAAAAGGTACTTCTCAAAAACCGGTTTGGTGGGTTTTTGATTGTAGAGCCTCTTATTGTTTTAAGGTGTAAAGTTAATTAACACGCAACTGTGATGTTGACTGGCTAGTCATCCTGTGGATTGCCTTTTGCTGGGTGCCTGTGGGTTGCTTTGAAAATGAAATCAAAGCTCAGACATGTAGGCACCAACCAATCTTTTAAGGATAACATGGTCTGTGGCTTGTTCGGTTCTGGAACGATCCGTTGACTCACTACAGTTACTACGGAGACATGTTAAGGCGCTCAGCTGTCAATCACCTTTTTTATGTTGTTAAATTTGAAAAAAAAAAAAAGGAATAGGTGTGTTTATATGTAATATTATTTATATAACCATAATATGACATTATATACACTATTTCTACACATATGTCTGTCAAAACATTTTTAAAAGTACATTTTTCACCATAGGTGCCCTTTAAATGTGTGTGTGGATGAAGATCAGGTGCAGGGTAATCAGCATCAGATACAAGGAATTCTGGGGGATGGAGTCCTTAGAAGGCTGGTGATAGTGACCTCTGCTGGTTAGTGAGAGGAATAGCTGGGACCGAGTTGGTGACACATATAAAGCATAATATTCATATTAATTACTTACAATTAACATCTGCACTGGACACAATATTTAGCACAGCCTTGTATGCTTCATTTGAACAAGAAAACATATTCATCCTAAAACATTAATTAAAGAAAGGAAAAATTTATATGTAAATATACACAGAACATATGTAATTACAAACTTTGATTTTGTATGTAATGACATTTTAATTCCATTTTAATTACATTACTGATGAGTGAGGAGTTATGAATCCCTACCAGGACCTACTTATCATTTAACAATGATAAACCCTCGTTTACACTAAAACTCAGACAACTTTGTCAGGCCAAAGAGGATGCCTACAGGAGTGGTGACAGGATCTTGTATATTCAGGCCAGGAACACACTTGACAA